TTTCCATTTACCGTCTTCCTCCTCGTCGGCCGCCTTTGCAACCTGGATGCACCTGCAACAACGAAATTGGCAAAGGTCAGCGTACACGTTTCGTTGCTTTAAACCGTCGCTGCTCTTCATACTTACTCGACTACGGATCCGTCTGCTGATCGAGACCGAGGATGAAATAATCGTCCCAACATTTGAATGGGTTTAAGAGAAGGCATGGGCTGGACTGGGTAGGGCAGAGTTTAGGACTTCTCTTGCCTTGGGATTTCTCTTTTGCGTTGAGATTTTTTATCCAAAACTCTACTTACCTTCTCGGAATTGCTTCGTCTTGTAATTAAGTAGATCGCAGATTAACCGACTGGTTAGATGTACTTAGAGTTAAAAATGTATTCAGCAACGCTTAACGATCCACGGTAGGAGATCGAGTCAGAAAGAGGACACCGTTGTCCTACAGTTTCGTCTCACTGGCAGACCCCTGATCTATCCTACTAATTAAAACCAATTGCGCTGGCAGAACGACCTTGGCCGTGAGTGACCTCAAGAGGCAGACACAACGTCAATTGATCCAGCAGACATCCCAGTCGATAGTTCCAACCAAACTGGAGCATACGTATTATTTCTAAAAATACCTGGGACTCTGTTTGAAGGATCGTCGTAGACACTACCGATACTTTAGGTACACTCAACAGTCGCTAAACTTGTTGATTTAAGGAATCTAAGACGATCTTCCAAACCCAGATAGCTACAACCCTTATCTCATCCCTAAATTGTTAAAGCGATCCATCCATGAAAGACGAACACGAATTTCTCTGTAAAGAGTCCAACCCTTGGCAGCTCGAAATCCCACAGGACGGAAAAGAGGAAACGCTTCGAGGTCTCGTCCAGTTTCTAACAAAGGAATCACGGCTCGCGCCGAGCGAGGGGTGAAATAGGAGCGGAAATTAGGTCAGCCAAAGAGACGCATGGAATTCCACGTGGACACGGAGAATGGAGACATCCCGGCCGGGAAGAAACCGTTGGCAGCTGCAGTTTGGCGAAACGTCGAAATCCAATAACGCCAGTGTTCCAGGCATACCGGCCGCCTAGAAGCTAGGCACACGGTATGTTCGTTGCAGCGCAGGGGCGAACAGACAGAAATCCCAATAAATCATCCTGTCACGAGCCGTGAGCCAAGGCGGAGCCTCTTGCCTCGTATTAGCCAATAATAATCCTCTCCGAGGTGGAGGCCATCTTGGATTATACAATGGTTCCTTCCGCCACAATTCGTATAAATGCAACCTTCGGGTTACCGGGCAACCTTTTCGAAGGGTCCCAGTGGCGTACGCCTGGCGATATTTTCGTTTAATCGCGAAAGACACCGTTGATCGTCCGGATCGATGTCATTCGCATACGCGTTCGCAATGAACGGGGTGCACCGCAAACTGGAGCAACGTGCACGATCAACCATAAGTTGAGGACTAAGATTTTCCAGGGTAGAACGCTATTCTGAGGAGAGTTAAAAAATTTGGAGCTGGCGGAAATTGGAAAACTACGATTGTTATTCGTGAATCGTAATTCCAGTTGTTTATCAGTTCGAACAGTCCCAAACTTATGGCGAAGGATGCGCACGGTTAACGGCGAAACGAACAACCCAACGAGTCCTCGCGAATGACAAATTAATTAATCGATCGAAGGAGGAGAAGCAACACCGTGGTGGCTCGATCGATCTCTCGAATCGAGGTCGAACGACCCCGACCGGTCCACGTGACCGGTTTTCAGCCGCGTATCCCCGGTGTTCGCGTTCAGAATCGATAGAGTTTGGCCCGACGCGGAGACGTAATACGAAGGAGAAGCGTGCACTCGGTTTCCGCAGCACGTGTGTGACAACTCGTTTCTCGTTTTCATATTCAACCACAATTTATTTCTCGTTTTCAAACACAGCTATTATAATTAATATAATTATTATTAATATGGACAGACTCTTATATAATATAATACAATACGGTTTAGACTCGTCGACATGATAGCGTATAATACTATTATCGTTTCTCATCGTCATCGTCGTCGTCGTTACTCATAATACATAACTCATCCGCGTGCATATCGTTCGTCATTGCAATCGTATCGTTATTATCGTTATTCGTCATCACCATCACCCTGCCATCATCATAATCATCGTCATCGTCCGCGTTATCATCAAACATCGTGTTTCGCTGACATACTTTTTTTTTCTCTTTCTTCCTCCATGTGTACATTTAGTTTACATAATGCGGAACACTACAAAATAATTATATACGTTTATCGTAATTCGTAATACTATTATATTTGTATTTATATTTATATTTATATTCATATTTATATTTATATTTGCATTTATATTTATATTTGTATTTCTATTTATATTTATATTTATATTCATTCATATTTATATTTAAATATATATAATTTGTGTATATATATATATATATATATATATATTCATTTATTTATATCTTTTTTTCCACTTATATCTCGGTAAAGCGGTGCGGCCCACAATATTTTTCGGCCTGTAGGCACACACCCCGTAACTAATGTTCCATTTTCTTTTATTACCTCCGCATCGCGTAACCGTTTCGAACTTACGCGTTGTACCCGGTCTTTTCGTGGCTGAGCATGTATTGCTGCACCTTTGTGGTTGTGTACGTATGTGTATGCGCGTGCGTGAGTGTATAATATAACATGTACACGGATGTTCCACCGGTTCGGACGGAGCAATGCGTCCGTATAACACGGAAGACTCGAGTGTGCGGCTGATATTGGGAAGGAAACTAATCCTTTGACCTTTTTTTTTTCGTTTCACCGGGGTCCTCAGACTTCAAGAACTCTTGCATCTTCGACGGATTGTACAAGTGTATCTGGAAATGTCGGCGTCCGCAAGTACCGAAAAAACCACTTGTAGACACTTGCTCCTCTACAGACACTGATAGAACGACTAGACTCGCGTACGATTTTTATTAATACAAATTCGGAACTTCTAGCCTAAATAATACAAATATTTGCGATATAATGGGAGTGTGTTTCATAGAAACAAATCGTAGGTATGCCGCACACTGGAGTGCATCGGGTGACGACGACGTGGCGGCTTTTAATAAATATTGTCATCCTTTTACTCTATTTCCCTCGTCGTGTTCGTATATCGTTACAGTACCGTATCAATAAATAGTAATTAATTAGTCCTCTGCTAGCGTTACTTTGTATTTTTTTAGTCTATTAAACAGGTACCTACTTTACCTACGCGGTATCGTATACAAGTGGTCGCGGCTCGCGATTCGACGCCGCGACGTTAGACGTCGCCCTTCGCATTGCCCCGCCGATAAAAGAACGTCGTCGTATGCGCCCGGCATTCTTTTTCACTCGGAATTATTTACAGTGCCCCTCTAGCCAACGACGTAGTCTATGGCACGTGACCTTGACGCCACGTGTCAAGGTAAAGCATAGCATTCTCCGGTAAGTACTCTTGTTCGTCCAACGATGCGACTTCTAAAGTAAAAAGTTTTACGGCTGGAAACACCGAATTCTCTCTAAACGTCCTCGCGAAATACGAACAGTTTTAACTATAATATTGTGTATACGTTGTTTTAGTCACGTGTTACCAGGGAGGGGTCTATCAGTCTTCACGGAGCGGAACCCTATCGACGAGACCGCGCGTTCTAGGAAACTTTTGTCGAATTGGAAAGGATTTTTCTTGCATCGATAACGGTGTCCGTTTCGACCGCGATCGGGAAAACAATTACGCGCTACTGTTTTCGATTACTTGTATTTACAAATGCATCAGGATGGTACAACGAATCGGACGATTCGACGGGACGCCCAAGGTTCGAGTAGCGTCTTGGGTACGTCTCGTTCAAGCGATGCGACGCTATACGAAAAATAAAGCCGATAGAAAACGCTACTCGGTGATTGCGTTGGCGAGAAGTTCAGGAATATCACGTTACGCGTGATGTTTTTATCGGGTACAGCGAATCTTTTCTTCCATTATACCGACATGAACTCGCAGTTCGTTTCACCGGCTCGTCAGTCAGTTTTCTCGCACGTTTTCACTCGCATCGTAAAAAAGACAGTTGGTTGAGTTGTTCGGGATGATGAATGCGTTCGAGTAACAGCACACGAAGCGATGGATTTCGCGTTGCCTGAAGTGGAGAGGCGATGGACTACCGTTTCCCTTTTCTTTACGTATTTAGTGTAGATATACGGAACTTAGAAAGGTATACGAAACTAGCGACACCTGTCTGGAGAGCGACAGGCAGTCAGGAACTCTTCGGCGCATGGGCGTGCGAGGACGTGGCTTTGTTATCCGATTGCGAAATGAAAACGCTTTAGGTGACAAATTTAAAATTGCCCGCGGAAAATGTATTATTTGGCAAAACGTTACGTGTCGTTTGCGTGCGATTTTGAATTTGAACAAAGTCATGTACGCCAAACTCGGCGAAAATGTAAAGAGGTCTTCGCACGACATACGTGCCGTAACACGTTCGAGGGAATCGCATTCGATATCGAAGCGGACAAGTCGATGACACGTTTAAACGATGGTGACGTAGGTTCACCGCGTGCAGGCTTCTTTGAAATTAGTACGAACTCGCTGCAATTTATGTAATCACGCTGGAAGGTTGATTCTGGTGTGCACATAAATACCTCCGACTACTCGGTTCACGTTGTAAAAAATATTTATTGGACAATTAATGAAAACAGAAGGAAAAAGTCCGCCTCGCTGCGCGCAACGCGGCGTCAATAAATATTACGCGGAACTACATTAATATAAGGGGCCGAAAGCTGCTTATCCTTGTCAAGCATTTTTTTTAAATCCTCTTCCGTTCTCTGCTCTAAATCTCGTAGGTGGCGTCTGCGAGCTCCCCAAATAGACACATCGATTTATGTACACTAATCGCAAACCCCACGAATTGCCTAGTTACTTAATTGCGCATTGCCCATGGTACATAGAACGGCGATCAAACCAATACTCTTTTGTTTTTTTCTCTTTCTTCGATCACTCGACATTTATTTTCTGCATCCATGACCACCGCCCCCGCTCGCTGCAATCGACATGCCCGTTTCCTTAATCCTATTTAATTATCATCTTAAGACTTAGGGCTTTAGACGTTAACCTTACCGATTAAGCGCTAGCTTAGTGACTCACTTCGTACGTACACACTGTTGTTACTCGTTACTTCCTTTCTCTTTCTCGCTTACGTTCTCTCTCAAAAATCCTCTTTGCCTCTTCGCTTTAACTTTACACACAATCACTCGCTTTGCTTCGTTCCTCTTCCTTCCTTTTTTTTCTTTTTTTATTTCATCGTTTAAATTACGTATAACGGTAATTTTACGCGACTATATAAGAGTAAAGATAAAATATATAATTTGCATTTTACACGTTCCGATCAACGCTAGGAATTCTGCTCTTTTCCCGTTTATTTTCGACGCATTTTTATATATATATATATTTACTCTATATATAAGTAGGAGTTTTGCTATCCAATGGATACAAAAATTTTCATTTCAAGCTTAAAAACTGGCGCTCGCGACGATCGCTCTCCTGGTGATGGTCTCTTCGCGACTCGCCCATCAGGTTTGGGAAGTGATTTACTTTTCAAACGATCGCTCGCAATTTTCAAATTAATCCCCGACTGTGTCATTTGTAATCGTAAATTTCAGAGAATTTCGAAAAGATTGGATTCCGTGTCAGGGATCAGCGATCGACTAAACGGAATATTGAGTAGAACGTATGCCGCGCGATTATTGCACAATTCGGTTTGTCCACGTGTCAAATACCCGGCGAGAGAAATATCGGCGATAAATTCACAAATGGATACCGAACGATCTTTTCATTTCTGCAGATAAAGAACCCTCGAAGGAGCGTTTCCAATCGTCGATTTCCAACCGTGAGCTTACGGATTGAGACACAACGACGCAGCGTACCTTTGCCAATCGGCTAAAACATTCGAGGATTAATGTTGCGAACCTAGGGACCGCGAGAAGTCGCAGAAAACGGTTTGTCAGGCAGGCATTTATGCGTGAAATTTCGCCTGCACTGTTGACCATCGTGTCGTAACAGTTGATACCGTGACGCAAGGGCAATAAATACTTCCTTTGTCTCGAAAGCCGCACCCTACGCTTCAATGCCGGCCATTACCTGGCCTACATAGATGCTATCGCTGATTAATGTACCCAGAATTAACGCGTGTCTCACTTACCTACCGCGAAACGCGCAAAAATGGGGGCCCGAATCGTGTGAGGTTAATCGATTTATCGCGAGAGTTATAAATCGTAATCGATACAACGTGTTGGGGACCTGGCTTCTCGACAAACGGAGAGGAAATTTGCTAATCGAGCTGATATACGATCGAAAACACGCTTACGCTTTATTGTTTGATCGGCTGAACGAACGAGAAAGCAACGACAAAGCAGTGAAAACGTCTGAGAGAAAAGTTGTCTAAAATGAAATAATAATATTTCGACGAAGAATTTTTCAGAGCAAAGCGATCGCGGAAAGTGGATTCGCAGAAGTAATTTAGTATGAAAACCAAAGATCCATTTATCGCCGGTGTTTCTCTTTCGTTGAAACTTTTACGAAAACCCATACCGACAACGATACGAGACCCCACGATGGGCTATCCAGTTTAATTGGCGCCAATTTGCCCGAGCAATTTAGGATCGCGACCCCTGACCATAAATGTACGGTTCGGCGTCCCTCTCGTCACCCCCCGAAAAAGAGAGCCGCTCACAAGACACAGCGAGCGATCGTCGAAGATATTCCATTTTTCATAGTTCGTTGCTCCTCAAGGACAAAAAGTTATACATAAATAAATCTCTCGAGAAAGAAAGGCCGGTCGGTGCTCAATCGATGCGCGTGCGCGAGCTGGACCATGTATTACGTATATCAGTTCCATGGATCAGAGATGAGCAGAATCATTGTCTACATAAACACGGCCAATAAGGATTTAAAGTACGAAAATTTGTATCTGTTGCATGTTGAAGAAATTAGTTGACAACCGAACGAAATGGACATGGCGAATAAATCACTGTTTTGTACATTTATACGCCGTTACTCGTGTAATTAATGTCATTTCAAATACAACGATATTGCTAATTTAATGTAATTATTATCACTCCCATAAAATTCTGCCCACCTCTGCCACGTATCGCCTCTTTTTTCCTCGGTCGCTTTTTTTTTTGTTTTCCCTCGGGACGAAGGAAAAGTTCGGGGAACGTCGCGGCGTTCCCCGACGATCCTCGAGCCCGTGATCCACGCTTAACAGAGATCCGCGAGATCGCCGGTTTCGCTCTAATATTTTTCCACATTTTTTTTTTCGTTTTTTTTTTTTGTTTTATCTTTTAAATACCGTCTTTTCGTCGTCGTCTATACATATTACGTATTCCGTTAATTATCGTTTATTACGTGGTATCGTAAATTGCGTGTATACAAGGTATAAACTAAATTATGTCGATCTAAGTTTACAACACAGCACAAGAATTCGCCGCGGCGGAGTTCTCCGACGTGTCGGACCCGGATCGTTCGCGGCGTCGGCGTCGGCGTCGTCGATCGCGAGTTTCGGTGATCGGGCCGACAGATGGTGTTTGGTACTGCTTGGCACGCTTAACGCGTTCGATGCCCGCTCGGCGTGTTTTGACGGGCGGGCGAACAAATGGGAAAAAAATCACGGTTTACACCGAACATGTGACTAGCGATTCAAGTGGAAAGGGATAGTTTCACCCTGCTGCTCTGTTTCAGGCTACTCGATAATGGATTATTTTCATTCGTTAAATTGAAACGTGTACCGTGAAACTGAATGTCAGGAAACCCTTTAATAGCTTTATGCATTTTTTAAAAATATTTTTAATTACAATCTGTTGGTGAAATCAAACAGAGTGCTGACCAACGTCTCTAATCGTAACACGGTCTTTTAGAGGAACTCTCTAATTCTTTTGAAATATCTAGTCGCTGAAACTGGACGTGCATTTCCAAAAAGTTACGCGTCGTTCTTTGACGGTGGGTTCTGACGCCAGTTTCACGAGGCGGGCGAGAAGGTACTCTGAATCATTTCGCGGCCAGACGGCAAAATAGAGTTTTCTGTCGGCGGCTTTGCTCTCTAGAGTCGCCATTAAGGTGCCAAGCGGTTTCATGCCGAAAGCATCCTATTCCGAAAATACGCTACGAATTACATCACTTGGTAACTTGGCCTCGTGTCGCGCGGAGCAGCGATAAATTTTCAGCTCTCGAGGACCTCTCGAGTTTTGGTCGTATCGAGGATCCCTCTTTCGTCGAGGTCACCGTTTTTTTTTTCTTCTTTTCGTTTATCTTTTTTGAATATTTACAAGAGAAAATAAAAACGCAATGCAGTTACGCGAGTTTTTGAAACCACCGTTTCGAAATATTTGGTGTGCCCATCTCAAAAAAGGGCGTTTACAATAAAGTCGACAGACGTCAAGAAGATGGTAAATCGTAAACAGGTTATAAAGTATGTTTCGAGTCGAGTAACGGTAACGTATGCAAAATGTCCCACGAATATTTAAATACTAAAATCGAAAACCAATGATCCTAGCCACGGCTAATTTGAATATTTTAAAAGTATGACAGAATTATGAGAAGGGGACGCGATTATTCTCGAAGAAAATTTCCTCGACCGTTGAAAACGCCTTCTTTCGAGCAGGGGCCATACTCTCGGGCGCCAACGCGATGGGTACGTTCGTGCAAGCGTAATTACAGTACGCGGCGACGCGTTACCCGTAATTTTCGAATTGTACGCCTGACGAGAATAAATTAACGATTCGAATCTCTTAATTAAGGTCTCCGTCGACATGTTCTTCAAGCAGTATGCAGTATTGAAAAAAAAATTACGAAACGAATACTAAAATGGCAATTAAAAAAAAAAAAAAACGTGTACAGTATACGCATACACGCATCGAAGAACAAGTAAATATCAATTTTAATGGAACTGACCTTGCGACGACACCGTTGAAGAAATGTCGAGTCGGTTCGACTCTGCTCCGCCGGAGGCCTCCGCTCCCTTAAACACTGTTTCTTTCATTCTTTTAGCACTACAGGAAACATTCCCGTGTCGCGATTCGCCATTGGCCAAAAAATACTGGCATCGACGGATACGATCGATCGATCACCAAAAAATCACTGGAATTTAACCAATTACAGCACACAGATAGACACTGATACTTCACTGGTTCCACGACGTTTCCTCGTCCCTCGTTTTAGCTCCTCCGCTCTTCAGTTTTCGTCTTGCTTTAAATAGGTGTGTGCGCGCGGATGTTTCCATGGAATTTCCTCTCGTTTTTCTCATATTTACTTTTTCCACGTCGAATCCTCCCGACACTGGAGAAACACATTCGAAGATCACACTTGGCACGTTCGCGATTCCTAAATACCCTCGCTGAGCCACCGCGGTATTGTAGAGAAAAACCTATCTAAACGATCCTCTAAGAACACTAAACCGTTCATCTACTCGCTAAACAGAGACACGACGGGCGACCGTCCTCTTTCTTCCGCTATTTATCTAACCGCTCTACGACACTACGCGTGTACGACGTAAGAGAATAAATAATAAAACGCTTTCCTAAGGTATATTCGCGCGGTATTTTCCAACAAACACTCTAATCGCTCGATACGCAACACGCACACATTCGCTCAACCCTTTCTCTCGTCATCGTGGCGCATCATTCTCGATACTTTTCTTTATATACAGGGTGTGCTTGGCAACAGGTGTTCGAAACCTTAAGGTACCATTCTGTGGGTCGAAATAAGACGAAAATCAAGAATAAAGAAGTTACGTTTCATGCTTGGGGTCCGAGTAATTCCTTAACGAACGCACGGTAAAGATATGTCTGACCCGAAGGACTCATTCTACTGCCGGACGCAGTGACGGACGGTGACAGTAGTAAGCTGTAGGCGAATCGTAAACGAACACTCATTCTTTTTACTTGTAAAAAAAAGAAGTTTACTCTCTACGTTACAATTCAATTCGTCAGATATGAATGGTCTCGCGTAAATTTAAGCACGGAGATTAACATCTCGCTGCATGGCGTGACGCATCTGCAATGCGCGAATATTTTTTTTCGTTGGAATGTATTCAAGCTATCAATGTATAAAGTATCGATAGAAATGTGTAGATAGTCTCGAGTGATTTAAGGTCTTGCATCGACGTCGAGGCAAGTGGCACGTTGCATTTGGCCGATGTCCGCGCGCCGCAGTAGAATGAGTCCTTCCTGTCAGACACCTCTTTCGCGCATCTTTGGCAATATTAATTACTCGGCCACGGAGCTTTGTTCGCAATTTCTCCATTCTTGATTTTCGTCTTATTTTTGCACGTGGAATCGGCCATAAATTTTTGAACACCTGTTGCCGACATCCCCGTAGACGTATATGCATGTATGTACATATACATGTATGTATATATATATTTATTTATATATATATATATATATATATATATATATATATATTTATATGTATATCACTTTACACGTTTCCACGGGCACATTCGTACTCTACTTACAATTATATAGATCCAAGCATTCGCGCAATTCCCACGGACTCTCGCGACATTAAAGTACGTATATTCGTTTCTCTCCCGTTTTTCCTTTTTATCTCTATCATTATTATAATTATCATAGGCTTTAGTACAATTACATTCGGTTAAATGTAATAGAGGTTAACGCGGTTCTGATTAGCATGTGATCCAGTTTTCTTCCGATCCGATCCCTCTTCTTCGGTTTCCTCGACGTTCCGCTACATTGTTATTAGAAGATCGCGCGTCCCTATAAATCTTCATCCGACTCGTTCAGTGTGTCCCGTTCCGTTTCCTCTCTGCTTTCCGTATTCCCTCGTGTCTCTCGTCCTTCCACTCGGCTTATCTCGCATTCCCTTCCCTCTGTCTCTCTCACACCCTCTTTCTTTTCGTCCCTCTGTCATCGTCCCGTTCACGTCTTCACTTCCATATCTTCACACTGTCTGTCGGCCGCGTACGTTTCTCGTTCTTCGTTCGTCCCCTATATCCGTTATCCCTTCTCTCTTCTCCTTTTTTTGGTACGAGCAACTTGATTAACACGACAAAATAAGCGTCATTGCTGTTTTTTGGGGGCTTAGGTGGGTTGGGTGGGCGGTTGCGGGAGGTGGGGATGGGGGTCATATTTGGAGGTCATCGGGGGTTGCAAGTCTGGCGTGTGGGTGGGGGGAGGAGGTAGTGCTGGAAACAAGGTATTAACGACCCTGAGAGAGATGAGACCTCTTTGGAAGTTCCACTCCTCGGGGTTCTTTCAACCCTGCGGCGACGTCTGCGGCGAGATCTCGGTGTCGCCGTCGCCCGAGCCTGGCTCGCCCTTCGTCTTGTTCTCCTTCTTCCACTTCATCCGTCTGTTTTGGAACCAGATTTTTATTTGCCGTTCCGTCAGGCAGAGCGCGTGCGCGATCTCGATGCGTCGCCGCCTGGTCAGGTATCGGTTGAAGTGGAACTCCTTCTCCAGCTCCAAGGTTTGGTATCGGGTATACGTTTGTCGTCCTCGTTTCCTCTCTGAAACATAGAAAAGCGAACGACTCGTTAGCGTCGTGGTTCCCAGCCGTTTGCGCATAGTTATCGTAGAAGGTGGTGCGAATCGAGGTTACAGGTTGCTTCGACGCAACCGGCTACGTGGAAAATCTAACGAACGCGTCGGGATCTCATGGAGGATGAATGCAACGTCGCGAACCTTGATCCGACTCGACCTCTACTCGATAAACGCGAAACCTGTGACCGGTTTCGTAGGAATGCAGGCAAGATTTCGCGTATATACGCCGAAGGGGTAAACGTACGATCAATTTAAAATTAACAATGATGTCGTTATCGCGTCAGAGTTGTACATTATAGGTAGGATTTATTTTTCAACACTGTCGAGATGTCGGTACTCTTCCTGGAAAGTTTGCTTCTCGTTAGAACCCACTTCGACAACTACACCTATACTTTGTCTCGCGAGCCAGCGGAGGAAATAAATTGGCGACCGTTGAAGGATTAGCTCCTTCGGCAGTTTGCGCTATGCAACAACGTCCCGGGAATCCTAACGTATTCGTGTCCTGGAAGTTACAAAAGGGATCGCCACTCTTCCACGAAATCGTTTATAAAATCTTCTCGAATCCCCGGGATTCTTATTCATCAACATCCCCCGATCCAGTGAAATACCCAAGAAGCGCCGAGGAGAAGACGCCAGTGCTTCGTTAGCCGCTGTACGCCTCCTCGAGGAACGCTTGGCCCGCTATCCGGGATATTTAATGAACGCCGGGCAACCTGCCTCGGCACGCGGGAAAGTTTTTACCGCGGCCTCGGTCGAAACAAAAATACCTGTCCGGCGAAGAAAAAGCTCGGCCGGCCGGCTCGTAGGCTCAGTTCCGCGTATGATAGATACCTTACAGATATCCGTGACATGATCTGCGCTCGGTGTGGCGGTACACGAATCCCGTACAAGAATATTAATTGTGCTTGCCAAGGGAGCAACGGAAAGGGAGAAGAACGCGAGGACGGACAGAGAGAACCAGCTGGTCCCTCGGCGCGTTCGTGAGCCCTCACACTAGCCCGCTCGAGCATAATCTCAAAGGGTTAGGTTAGCCGCTTGCCACACGAGCGCAGGAGGGCAAAACGAGGATACCACGGAGTGGCACGAGGGAGGGAAAAAAGAAGAGGGGGCGCAGGGATGCACAGCAAGAGAAGCAAAGAGAAGGCGGGGGCCGGTTGGAAGACGAAGAAGAAGAAGAAGAAGAAGAAAACTCCTTGGTGAGCATTCGAGGCAAACGCCGCCCGTCGCGCTGTCGGCCGATGAAGACGGATGGCGACTCTCCTCCGGAGCGAGAGAGGGAGAATTCTTGGAGGGTTCTGCGTCGCTCGACCGGACGGAGATAGAGACCCGAGGGAGAGGGAGAAACTCTGGAAAGATGCCCTCTTGTTCCCTCCCTCGGGCTACGCTCTCAAATTAACAACGTACCAATCTCTTTACTTATAACTTTTAACGATTCGGCTAGCTTCCCCCGGCACTGGCCCCCTCGGAAAGAGTTATCCTCCTGTACCGTTGCCTTTCCGCGCTGAACGCGCGTGAGATTTGCGGATAAATAAATTTCGGTTTTCCGCGGGTGGAGTTTTATAGGACGGCGAATCGCTGGACGTTAGCTTCGAGCGGTAAAGGCTAAAGGCCGTAAGATGAATTTACCAAAGCTCCTAATAATATCGATTTTCTAACGAGCACCGTTTGAAACGACGATGCGTCAGCAATCAAGACTGAAATACGATGTCTACGATGGTTGTCGCGAAGTTGAAGTCCTCCTAGTGGACCAATCAAAGGATACCCGAGATAAACATAGATCCCGCGTTTCATCAAAGAGACTGGCGTGATTCGCGCACGCTTCCACTCCATGGCCAGCTTATTAATGTTCATTCGTCGGACGGTTAACGAAGGTGCTTCTCGCTACATTTTGACCCAGAAGATCGTCAAAGCGTTCACGGAATAATGAAACGGCTCGGCGACACGCTCGAGCTACCGTGCACCGATTAGTTTATGCCTCTTTATCGATAACAGTCTTATTACCTAAATCGTATACGATTCGCAAACGGAGGGTTTACGTACGAAAGCTAAGAGTCTCGGCTTTGAAGCGGCTAACGGTCAAAGAGATCCTTAATAACGATGGCGCCTCGAAAGCGGTCGTTGACTGATTCCCAGTACTACCAACTGCTTCCTATTAAAGTTCGTTTGTGATACGGAGAAAGAATACGTCTCCAGCTTCGCGCAAAATACGCGAGCCGTTGAAGAACCAACGAATTGTTTCGAATTTCAAATAATTTAGGTCCTAGAAAAGGTGCTAACGAGTATTTGACTTACGTCAAACGTATGGTGGAATGTCGTTCAAACACCTCTGGCGTTTGAACACCTCTCCCATAAAGAATGGAATCCTCCGCCTATGGTAACAATTATCTTAATAGCAAGCCAAAGGATATTAGCAATATCCTCCAAGTTTAAATATTCAGTGTTCTCGTTCAAAGTGGATCGATTCCATCGGCGATGACTCGGATCACGATTAGCCTCGTCTGCCGGCTGAATTAGACATTGGACGGTCCGCTTTTTCTCGCTGGCCGAGCATGCGGGCTTAATTAAAGAGGCGTTCTCTGCTCGGCAACACGCTCCTAACAGTAATGCGTGCGGAAAACGGCCGCGTGTATGATTATGCAGGCTCGAACTGGAATACCCCATTTGAAAAGAAAAACTTGAAACCGATTTCTCTCAAGCGTCTAGAAAAAAGAATTGGTAAGGACAACTGTTATGATACGTAATAACTCAGAGGTACGTGGGTACGAGTTGGAAATAATTCGTACCGTTCGACGCGGTGTCGAGCTATTATCAATTATTTTTTTCCAAAGACAGGCGCCAAAGCACGAGAATGAGAAAGCAGTATCAGTTTGGATCCTAAGCGAGCACGAGTCCTTGAGACGGTGCGAAAGCGTTATCCGCGCGCGTGATCTCTGGCAAATTAATCACCTCTGCGCAGCCTTCCAGGCTGGAAAGAATTTAATGGTATGTTTTCATCGTGCGAACACAACGTGGGAAACACCGTCCCGACGTGGCGAGGGTGTGAGATTTTCTTTCGCCGCTGACCACTAACCCAAGACGCGTGGAAGTACGGCACAGCTGAAACAACGTTGTCGGGGAAGCTGCCAAGCATCTCGAATCTGCGACTTGGGTCAACCGTCCCAGAGAAACGCTGGCAACGTTGTTGCAGAATCTCTCCTAGTGTTGGTTTAAAACGTGTCGAATTTCCTCGCGTTCGACATTCGAGCCAGATAAAATAAAATATGGCGCGCTTCCCGTGCCTTTCGATCAATCTTTATTTTTAAATTCAACGGAATACTTGAAAAAAATCAAAGAGTCAAATTTCTACCCTCGACAAGGTATCCCTTTCCGTTGCGTCCAATAGCAGAGTAAGTAAAATGGAACACACTGGGAAGGAGGACACTTCTGAGACCCAGAGCGGAGATGAATTTTTTCCGCGGAGTTGGGAGGATGGATCATCGACGCGCGAGACGCGGAGCGTGTTAAAGAGGTCGATAACAAGAAAACCTGGCTGGTACCCTCAGTTTATGCTGAACCGGCGTTCTGATGCTGGCGTTGCCGGTGCTCTCGCGGACGGAGGTGACTTTAAACGCGGGGCAATAAATTAACGGCGTTGGGTTACGCAAGGATCAAATGTCCCCTGGAGTATGCCCGAGAGATTTATGGGTCTGCCTTCACTGGCGCAGCATGAAGGAACGGAACGGAACAGAACAGAACGTACACAACCGTACGGGCTTATTATAGGCTAGTTGCTCCGCTTCTCCGCTTCTCCTCCAGCCGACTGGTCTCTTTCAGACCCGCCGCAGGATACACGCAGGACTTTTCAGACGAACAGCTAGCCGGATGTTGTAACCCGCTAATAAGGCGCGGCCACCACTCGCTGCCCAATTAAGCTTAGCTTTACGTGGGCACCTTAAGGCCAGGCCTTGAAACGCTCTTCGATTAGATACCCTAGATATCCCATTAATTTTATCGCTCGACCTCTCCGCTTTCCCTCTCTCTCTGGGTCGTGCAAACCCGTCGGATTATATGACCGGTCGACGTTGCTGACAGAGGTTCAGATTAATCGCGAGGAATCCGGTGAACCGCCTTGGAGAACGCTCGCAACGGATATTTCGGGGATTCGGGTGTTCTCGACAGATCTCCCGTCCCCCAACTGCCGTTGATGCCAGATCGCGATACAGGGGACGAACGCTTTAACACCTGTCTTGGTAGACGAGTGCCTCGACTGTTGATCAAGCTCGTTACGAAAGAGTTATTCGTCTAGCAAAAGAGAATGAATGAGTGGATTGAATTTTCGCAGGATTCGTGCGAGAAAGAGAGCGTGTACTGTGTGTAAATAGTCGGCGAGCAAGCGCTCTTTCATTCTTGATTCGGCGATCGTTTCAATGCGAATACGTTATAGTAAGCGAACAATTTATATAATAGAACAGACACGAGTTAAGTGTCCAAATCTCGTATTTACGGTTTCGAGTCATCACCGCTGTTTACGCTCCTCTCTCTCTCGATTCGTGACACCTGACGGTCCGATTTCGCGAACATCACGCGAGGCAATATCTCGACTATGGACCCTTCGATCTCGGTAACGAAATAACGGTGGATCGAGCACGCAGGAACGTTTCGCCTGGCATCCCTTTAATTCCAAACACGTGATCGAACTTCCTCCGGTTCTCCGTCCGCATCCGTCCGAGTCACCATATATTTTAAGCGCGGCTATCCGTCTTGCTTTTTGTATTTCCGTTCTAGGCTGCTTTATGTCACGTTGTTTACGTTCGAACTTTCTTCGCTGGGGGACCCTTAGCTTTTTGCCCAGCGAACGGAGACACCATAGGTCCCTCCGCATAGGGGTCGCGCGACGCCGACAAGATAACCTTCGTTCAGGAATTTCGCCGGTTGTTTACGCGCGGCACCGCAAGGAGGGTCGCATTCTTCGCTTCACGAACTTCCT